GGGCTGACACCAATGAAGTACCGACACGAAACGTGGTCACTAATGAATACCAGAATTGGACATAAGAGTTCAGTCTAAATACCATGTGTAATAAAAACAAGTTGGAAAGCAATCAGTGTTTCATTCTTCAGCTGTAAACACAGACAGAGCACAGCGTGGGACAGAACTTGGCCAACTATTACTACAGCCTCTTACTGGTCTTGTATATGAAGAGCATGTGCCTGTTCACACAATAACAGGGTAAAGAAACGAGATTAGTAGAAGAAGGAAAATGATATGAAGTAACGGAAGAGGAGAGGTGGGAAAAGGATTTTTAGGAAGTGCTAAAGAACATGAGAGGGAAAGGCCTATGTTTCAGACATCTATGCTGAAGACCTAGTTTAAGGCTGAGTGAACGAGGGAAGTTAGTAAATATCGGTCTCGGAAGCTGAAAACGAACAGTTAAGACGTATATGACTCAATGGACCGGAACGTCTTAGCTCACTCTTGCCCCCAACCTTCACTACCCTCTTTTGCTTGTGCACCCCATCATCTGCCCCTCCAGGATTGACCTGGAGGCTGCAACCCACTCGCTGTGACCGAGGTAGCAAAAACGCAAAGAATGTTTAGCTTGTCTCTTTGAATCCAAATAAACAGATTCCCAGTGAGATGTGCGAAGTGCAGGATATCACTACGACCAAGGGAGAAGAATATCACTATCACCGATGAGCAGGGCAATCTGCTCCTCTTGCCAAGGACCGGAGGGCTTCACGCATTAGTAAGTGAAACCTACGAGAAAGCAAATGATCACTTCGGCGGCTTCCAAAGAAGAGCTCACATACAGCGAGCGATGTGTACTATCTAGGAGGTATGTTGCTCAGGACTGAATGACCTGGAACAGTTGCAATCGGTGCATGGGGACTAACACATTATTCTACATCAATTGCCCGGGTAGTTTTGGTAGCAATATAAATTGCTGATTTTTTTTTTTAACACAAACCAATAGCTCGAGTGCGAACGGAGGTCGAATCAGCTGGCAAACCAATAATCTCTACAGTAACAACTGGCGAACAAATACCTCTATTTTTGTCTCTCCTTGACAGATGTTGCCCAGCCAAAATCTGAACAAAATTAAAAAATAATGAATGTCAAGAAAGCAAAAAAAAAGATGACATTCAATTTTTTATGATCAAATAAAAAACATAAATCCTAATTCAAAAAAAAAAAAAATGCACATGAGCTACTTTTTTTCTCATATTTTTTCTTGCTTTTTTAATCACATTTTTTCAATTACTTATTCTCATATGTGAATGGAGCAACTTGATCGGCTGTAATATGTGGTCTAGTTTTCTGGCTATGCAGGTGAAAACTAATACTGTTGCTTTGGGCGATGCTGTATCGCCCAATTTATGTGCTCGCAAGACTTCGTTTCCTAAAAAAATTGTCCGTTCAACGTCTTTTCCCGCAGCAGGCTTTAAATGTTACGAGATGCTCATAGTGTTTCCTGAGCGTCTTCAGCCTATTGCCACTTCAAGATCATGGTGCTGTATCCCATCGACTACAAGAATTTCATATGTGGCTTGTTCCAATTCCTTTTGCTAGCATATATCTCACTGCAGTTTTAGTCCCAATA